CACAGCTTGGATCCTACAAGGGGCCTCCAGTTTCATTGAGACTTGACCCCAACATCATACCCATTAGGGTAAAGGCTAGAAGAGTGCCTTTTGCCTTAAAAGGGAAAATTGATGCTGAGTTGGATAAGCTGATCCAACAAGGCATTTTAGAGCCTGTGGATTCAAGTCCATGGGAAACCCCCATAGTCACGCCTCTTAAGACTAATAGGGACATCCGAATATGTGCTGATTATAAGTGCACTATTAATAAGGCATTACAACAGCACACATACCCCGTCCCAGTAGTCAGTCACATTCTGGCTTCACTTAAGGGAGGGAAGATTTTTGCAAAGCTTGACTTGGCTCAGGCGTATCAACAGTTACCTGTTGATAAAGCAGCTGCTGAGGCACAGACCATTGTAATGCACAGGGGTGCATTCAGAGTTAAAAGACTGCAATTTGGGGTAAATGTCGCACCAGGCATAGTCCAAAGCGTCATGGAAAGCACACTAAGGGGCATTCCTGGGGTCTGCCTTTATTTCGATGATCTCATTTCTGGAGAATCCATACAAAATTTAGCAGAAAGATTGAGGGCTGTGCTGCTGCGTTTCAGAAGAGCAGGTTTAAAGCTCAAGAAAAACAAGTGCAAAATAGGGGTCACTTCCACAGATTTTTTGGGATTCAGAATAGATGCCCAAGGCATTCACCCCGCTGAGTCAAAGTTAAAGGCCATACAGCAGGCTCCTCGTCCCAAGTCAAAGGGTGAACTGCAGGCTTTTCTAGGCCTTCTTAATTTTTACAATGCTTTTCTACCTCATAAGGCTGCTGTGGCTGAGCCTCTACATAGGCTTTTAGACAAGCAGGCAGTCTGGCAGTGGACCAAGGTCCACAAACGGAGTTTCAATGAGGTCAAGGCCTTGCTTACATCTCATGATGTACTTGCACATTTCAATGAGAAATTACCTGTATGCATCGCCTGTGATGCTTCCCCTTATGGGGTGGGTGCTGTTCTCAGCCATTTGAGAGCTGATGGAATCCACGTTCCTGTTGCTTACTATTCCAGGACCCTGTCTTCTGCTGAGCGCAATTACGCTCAAATAGACAGAGAAGCATTGGCCATAGTAGCAGGTGTTAAAAAATTCCATGATTTCTTATATGGCAGGCATTTCACGGTCTACACTGACCATAAACCGCTGTTGGGATTGTTTACCACCAGTAAACAAACTCCCCAGATTATCTCCCCTAGAATGTTAAGGTGGTCTATTTTTTTTGTCAGCCTATGACTATTCTTTAATTTACAAACCTGGTAAGGAAATGGGCCATGCAGACGGTCTCAGTAGGCTACCCCTACCAACAGTTGAGGTTGACCCCACTCCTGCTGTTAATCTTCTGTCTATTCAGGAGCTGCCTGAATCTCCACTTAACGTGAGGGATGTGGCGGCTGAAACCGCCACTGATGCCACACTTACTCATGTGCTCTCCTGGGTTCTATCGGGGTGGCCTGACAGAAGCCCTGGTCCTGAGTTCCAGAGCTTTTGGCTCAAGAGGCATGAGTTATCCACCTTTAAGAGTTGCTTGCTGTGGGGCAGCAGGGTGGTTATTCCTACCTCACTGAGGTCAAGGATCTTGTCTTCTCTCCATGAGGGCCATCCTGGCATAGTCAGGATGAAGGCGCTTGCGCGCAGCCACCTATGGTGGCCGGGACTAGACAGGGACATAGAGGCCCATGTGCATGGGTGTCATCTATGCCAGCGTTCACGGCCAGAGATGCCACAGGCCCCAGTGCACAGGTGGGAGGAAACACTCATGCCATGGTCATGTGTCCACGTGGACTGTGCTGGGCCTTTTCAGGGGCAATTCTTCTTGGTGCTGGAAGTTGCTGGAAGTGGCTGGAAGTTGTGCCTGTCTCGTCCACTACTACTGCCAGGACCATCCAGGTGTTGCGAGGCATTTTTGCAGCTCACAGTTTGCCAGATGTCTTAGTTTCAGATAACGGCCTGCAGTTCACGTCGGCGGAGTTCCAAGCTTTCCTTCAAGCCAACATGATCCAGCATGCAACATCGGCACCTTTCCACCCTTCCACCAACGGCATGGCTGAAAGGATGGTGCGCGTCACCAAGGACGCCCTGAAGAAGCTGACTTATGGGGATTGGCACCACAGGTTGGCTGACTTTCTTCTTGCGCACCGCACCACACCGTCAGTTGCTACTGGGAAAAGCCCAGCAGAACTCCGCTGGGGTCTCAGACTGACCACTAAACTGGACAGGTTGCATCCTGATACGTTGGCACCCTTGGAGTCTCAACCATGGGTGCCGCGGTGTTTGACAGTGGGCGCTCCGGTTTGGACCCGGAATTACGGTCCTGGTCATCCTTGGATTCCTGCGGTCGTCTGCAAGATTACTGGGCCTCTGTCTTATGAGGTTTCCGTGGAGGGCGGCCGCATCGTGCGGCAGCATGTTGACCAGCTGCGGAAAAGAATGGACTCTTCTTCTCCTACAAAGGGGTTTTCTCTGGGGGGAGGGGGACCAGGAGGGACCAAGGGAAGGTCTGTCTCAGGGTTCCACAAGTGTGCCAAACGGGAATTCATGGGAACATGAACCAGTACAGCACTCACTACATACTCCAGCCAGGGAGTCACCCAGGGGGTATCCCAACAGTCCACAAACCCAAATCAGTACTCCAGACAGGGAGATTAACAGGGAGTGTCCTCACAACGCAAACTGTACAAGAGAGCTGGCACATAATCAAAGGAACTGGTCAAATACTGCAATTGCTCCCAGAAGGAAGTCTGTACAGGGGGAAGTAGCCGGAGAGGCGAATCATGACTCTGGTTCATTTAGCACAGGCCCAGGGGTGGTTAGTTATTGGGGCACTGAAGAAGCCACAGACAACCCGGTCACAGGGCTTGGGAGTAAACAACCGCGCACCCAAGATTGGTCCATTGTGGACCTGGAGAATCCCACAGTCCCGAGTGATGGGGAATGGCGTCCTGAGAGCCCTGGTAGTATGGCTGTAGACAGATCGCCACGATGTGGCAGAGAGCAAAGTCCTGCTCTGTGTAGCCCGGTGGGCAAGCAAGCAGGCCAGGCAACAGGAGCCAGGTCACCAGGACCACCAGGGTATCAAAGAGGGGTCAGCCCCGCCACACCTTGTACACAAGGGAGCCTGGGGTGTTCCCCGGGGCTGAGGAGGTTGCAACGTAACAAACGGCCTCCACAGTACCTGGAGGATTTTGTAAGGTTGTTGTCAACCTGCTAGTAATGTGTGGAAGTGTTGGCGAATATTTCCAAAATGATAGCATGGTACCATTTAGGTGCCTTAGGCTTACCTAAGCAATCCACATATATGTTTATGCATGCGTAAGGCACCACGTTCCATCAGAGGTCGTGGACATGCTTACACGTATGTGCATGTATGTTGGCAAGTTTCATCCGGAGTGAAGGGGTGTTGTGTCCTGAGCCTGTGGCAGCAGGCTCGGACGTTGTCATGGCAACAGGCTGCTGTAAGCTGCCCGGGGCCAGACAAACTGGCGCCAGCCTGTGCGCATGCGCAAGGCACCAAGAGCGCGGAAGAAGTAGCAAGTTTACCCGGACAGTTTGCTCTTGCTGTAGAGAGAGTCGCAAGAGGCCTGCGAGCCTCCGTTTTTTGTCTGAGGAGTTCGGAGGAGAAATAAAGAAGGTTCCTGTTACAACAGCATGTCTGCCTCTCCATCATTGTCTAACCAAGGACTTAACAGTTTTCAGAACTTGGCCTTGGTGGGTAACTGTTCTTAGGTGGCAGAAGGCTCTCATGTATTCCTTAGCTCTCCTCCCTCCCTAGGAATTTACCAACCCCCTCCCATTTCTGTTTGGCAAACTGCAAGCCAAAATCAGGTGCAGGCAATGATGAAGCAGAGTCACCTTTGACATAATGACACTCCAGAGGAATGATAGCCCTAGAATATAAACACAAGGGTGTACACAACATTAGACATTGCTTGTTCTTCCCAAAATTTTGCCTTACTGGGAATGACCTGGAAGATCAACATGAAATCTGCGCACTAACCTAGCTGCCTTCACATCAGTCATTGCCACCTATTCTGCATCAGCTGCAGGCAATGGTGAAGCTGAGTCAGCTTTGACATGTGCCCACTGCTCGCACAAATGCAGCGCATGTCCACACCCTCTTTGGGTACTAGGTCTCCAAACTGGCTTTGAAAAAGGAAAAATACAACTGGCTTTCTGCCAATTCACTGAACACCCACCACCACCCCTTAAATGCCAGTTGGCCGTTATTGAGCTCCAACTGATATGGAACTTGTTACTTGAAGAGAGCTAACTCATGTTCAAAAGGAGCTTTGCTAAAGCTGGTTGGCATCGGTGCAAGGGAGGAGGGATGCAGTAAGAAAAGCTCAGTCACCACCATCCCATCATGCCATTCCACCCCATGTAGTGCTGCAATTAATGAGTGTTTTTTCCAATGATCAGTACATTGAGGAAGATAGCCAACCCAAAGGGATGTAACAGCTCCTTTAGTGCAATTTATGCAGGAAATTAGGACAATGCATTCCAGCTGCATACACTGGTTTTTGAAAAACACAGAAGCATTTGGCAATTGCAGTACAGAAAGAAAAATCTATGTTAGTTTTGTTTTTTGACAGCTTTCATCAGCTAGAAAATACTTTTACTCTACTCTGCTGAAGACTCTTGAATCTGCTAACCTTGGATACTCAGAGAAGGAAAACAGCTAGTATAAGATGGTGTGATGAAATAAAGGCATAATTATCCTTCCTGTTTTTATACTGCTTTCTCACTCCAAAAGATACACTTTAGATGTTTTTCTTGAAAAAGTGGAGTGTTTGGGTTAGTTGTGCATATTAGTGTGTAAGATAAAATAGGTCCTTATTTGTGTAAGGTAAAATAGATCCTTATATTAGCAATTACAGTAGGTGTCCATAGTGGTTTGCTATTTAAATGCTGGGTTCTCAGGAATTTTTTATTTCTGTTGTCTGTCCTTTTTGTCCTCTGCACTGCTGGTATCAGTGTCCGTCGGGCATACATAATAAACAAGGAGATCTGCTCTCGTATTGTTTGCAAAGAAGATGAAGCTATGCAAGGTAAGTGACATGACAAAAAAGTATATTTTTATAAAACATTCCCATATTAGAAAAATGCCCAGAAAGAAATGATTGCATCTATTTTAAAGGAGGAAAAGTCATTCATATCAGAGCTGTATGGTTATATATTTTTAGTAACATTCAGTTGTCAGTGAGACAATTTAAGAAGCCAGCTTACAAATAGGAGAAGATGCAAAAATGCTAAATGTGCAGAATAGGCACAGGAAGTGGGGGGGAGGGAGAGCCAGGATTTGTTTAGGTGATTATTAGGTAATACACTGATTCCAAAACAAGTATCTGAATATTCTCCAGTTGTGTTACAGTGATCCTAAGAGTGTACTACACTCTTAAACAGATGTAGAAATAAATAAAATGACAGTGCTCAGCAAAAAAAAATTAGATCTGCTTGAAGATTTTCAAACTGCTCTGAATGTTGTGATGTATGTTTAAAATACATATAGAAAAAATGTTTAAAATAATTTATTTATATTTCCTTTCCCTAAAATCGGGCAGACTTTTATGGAAATGAAATATCAGAGATTTTGGGACAAGTTCCTGTGAAACTGATAGATTGAAAACTGTCCTTAAAATATATGTAGTAATAATTAGAAACTGAACTGCCCCCCTTCATATTTAGTTGTAAGTGATTTTAATCCTATGGATCCATAAAATGATACTTGCAAATGAAGCTGTATATATAAATTATGTCAAATGATTAGCTCTTTCTTTCTCTGGCCTGTTTCTAGAGGAGATTTGCCGTCAGCTGGCTGGCCTCCCACCACGCCGCCTCCGCCGCTCTGGTGAACCTCAAGGACCATCCTGCCGACGAGGAAAGGGCCAATCTCAAAACACGCTTGATTCTCAATGATCAGGAAACTGTAGGAATGAGAAGAATAAAGAGGAACTGAGATCATACTGGAAATCCATCCTAGATTTGCCTTTTCTCATCCAATTCCTGTCTTAAAAGGTGCTTCACTAGCACAGGGACCTTTCATATCAATAGGTCATCTCTGAGATGTTAGTACTTAGACCCTCATGTGCACCTGCTTCTGGGTTATTTTAACCTTGGACTCCTTATGTAAGTCCTACCCAAAAGCCATTTTAAAATATACATACAAAATACTTGTTTTCTCAGTGATTTCCCACCTAGTTTAGAACCAGCTTCTCTACAGAAAATTCTCTGCAGATAATTAACATAATTTGTATGGATGAAGCACTTATAGTCTATTCTTCATAGAGTTTGATTGTTTATCTGCAAAATTAGAGGATATATTGAACCATATATTGAACTCACCATTTGTATGTCTTATGCACCTACCTGAAGAGAAGGAGACACTGAAACTATGGAATAATAGAAAGTAAGGAACAATAGTCTAGTCCTTCCTTTTTCAGTACAGGTATCCACTGTTGCAGTATCCCTGATGTCCCAATCTCTGTTTAAACACTTTCATTAAGAAGAATTTACTATTTCCTGAGGCCATTTGCTCTACTCACTGTTAGGATATTTTGTCTTGACATCCAATCAAAGCTACTTCATTTATCTAACTGTTTTTAGTTCTGTATTCTGGAACAACTTTGAACAAGTTCTTCATAATAGCAGTCTTTCAGATATTTGAACAGCTACCATGTCAGTCTACAGTCTTCTCCAAAGGCACTTTCAACTATTTCTTGTAAAGTTTTCCTCCGGGCCCCTAATCACCTGATTGTTCTCCTCTGGACATGCTCTAGTTTGTCAGTGTGACTGTCTTTCCTAAGACATAGAGCTCAGAACAGGATGTAACATTTTCTATAAAATCTGTTCAGCACTGAAAGAAAAGGAAAGAACTTTTCTATCCTGCACATAATTCAATTTAAAGCAAGGTTTTCAGTTTTGCAAGATGTCTTCCAAAAATACTTTTCTAATTCTTGTGAGGTGGAGCTTATCTCTTGCCAGAAATTCCCCAGGCTCATAAATTTGTCCCATCAGCCACATCATTCCCATTTGCACTATCCCATTTGCTCACATCTGGTATTCTCCTCTCTTGGACCATATCTTTCAACAGGAAGACATGAAGAAATATTGCCTATGTCCCCAGCTAACGCTAACCTTAATCCAGTACATCACAGTCCCTTGAAGCATTTTCAAGAATGTAAAGAGTCTTGGGAGCCTTTTCATCACATCTAAAGGTGTGCCTCTAGAAGAGCACTTTTCTCCTCTTGATAGGCGGAATGCTTCTTCAGGCTCTCTGATCACTACTAATTGCTATTTCTCCTCTTTAGGTAGATGCAGAAGTCCTTTCCTTGAAGAATCCTGTTCCTTGGTTCCTGAGGTTAATGGCAACTGATGCTTGTCCAGGCATCCTGAAATATCACCAACAGGGATGCCATTGAAATTATACTGAACTTTCAAAGAGTAAGAGCTCTTTTTAAACAGTCTTAGTGCTTAGTCTCACATTCCTCTATCTGGCTAATCTTTATCTATCTGGCTATCTCCTGGAAGATTTCTTGATACTATTGATCTGGTGCTGTTGACCTGTGCTCATTCCAATAATTTCTTATAGTTCTTTATAAGATAGTGAATCGACAGTTTGGATTCTGACTCCTTTATCTTCTCCACCAAAAGGGCAATCTGCCTGCAGTTTTGGTGCATAATTCTTGCCATTTTCTGGGAGAAAAGGAAACATGGAATATTATCTTCAAGTCATAAGAGTAGTTTCTTCTGTTTCCACTTTTCTCTGATACCAATAAACAAAAAAAATTGTAGATGACATTAAAACTGATAGGAATAGCCAACACCCCAGAAGATAGGGTCAAGATCCAGATGGATCTCGACAGACTTGAACACTGGGCCTTATCTAACAAAATGGAATTAAATGGTGAGAAAATAAGGTTTTACACTTAGGCAAGAAAAACCAAATATACAGGCACAGATTAAACCTGGTTAAATAGTAGTCTGGTAGAGGGATCTTGGAGTCCTAATGGACAATATGAGACAGCAGTGTGGGCAGCAGCCAAAAAAGCCAACACAATCCTAGGTTGTATTAACAGAGGGATAGAATCAAGATCACGTGAAGTATTAGTCATCATCATCATTTTAACCATTATCTATCCACTGTAGGATGATGGCCTCTTCCGCATGTTTCCAACCTATACAATCCTGAGCTTTCTTTTGCCAATTGGGCCCACAATACTTGCTAATGTCATCGATCCATCTTGTTTTAGGTCTCTTTCATGGATGCTTTTTATCAAGTGGGATCCATTCTATGACTGCCTTGGTCCACCTGCCATCAGTTCTTCTTGCTATGTGACCAACCTATTTCCATTTCAATATTTTTACTCTCTTGATGTAATAATATTACTATCGCTTTATAAAGTCTTAGTAGACCACACTTAGAATACTGCATCCAGTTTTGGTCACCATATTATAAAAAAGATGTAGAGACTTTGGAAAGAATACAAAGAAGAGCAGCAAAGATGATTAGGGGGCTGAGGCTAAAATATATGAAGGACGATTGGAGGAATTGGATGTCTAGTCTATTGAAAAGAAAGACTAGGGGTAACATGATATCAGTGTTCCAATATTTGAGGGGCTGCCACAAAGAAGATGGGGTCAACTTTATTCTCCAAAGCACCAGAAGGCAAGACAAGAAATAACAGATGGAGACTAATCAAGGAGCGAAGCAACCTAGAATTAAGGAGAAATTTCCTAACAGTGAGACCAATTAACCAGTGGAACAGCTTGCCTTCAAACGTTGTGGGAGCTCCTTTACTGGAGGCTTTTAAGAAGTGATTGAACAGCCTTTTGTCTGGAATGGTATAGGGTCTCCTGTTTGAGCAGAGGTTGGACTAGAAGACCTACAAGGTCCCTTCGAACTCTGTTATTCTGTTCTGTTCTTCTCTACAAATTTCCTTCTAACTCTGTTATTCTGTTCTGTTAACTGTAAAATACTATAGAGCAGACCCTGTAAGATAGAAGGATGGTATGATAAAAGCTTTATCTAGAACTTCCTTGGCAGTAGGTCTGTATAACTAATGCAGTATGATTGGAAATGGACAATTGTTTTCAAAGTGCTGAACAGGATATCATAGAGCCTTTCTTACTCTTTACTCTCTTTATCATTATCTTTGGGCAGTTTGATGGTGGAGAGACATAAACAGGAGTTACCATATCCTGAGTTGTGGGGATTCCATATAAAAGTGCAGAGGCTGCCTTATTCTGAAGCACTAGCCTACCTAGTCCTGTTTTCTCTGATTGGTAATAGCTATCCAAGAGCTTAAGACATTCTTTTAGAGCCCTCCCATCCTTACTTTTTTAAAAATTAATTTAATTTGTTGAACTGTGAATTTTTTCCTTCTCCTTCCTTCTTCTTTCCTTCTTCAGAAAGAATCTTCTTTCTGAAAAGTATGTAATCTATCACTGATTTTTTTTCATCTCCAAATATTTGAATAAGTAATTGCTTAATTTAAAAATCCCACAGGAAAACTGGATGTTTATTTCTGTGAAAATTTAGAATTTCTTGGGGAGACCCTCCATATGACATCTATGGAATTCTCACTTTTTAGTTTTTCCCAGTAGCAATGGTTTCCTTTACAGCTGTATCTTGAACAGCAGTGAAGGAATCATTACTATTTTTATTATTCTGGTGTTTGCCTTCTGCCTTTTCATTCTATTCAGCATGTTGCCATTGGATCCTATAAGTGCATATCATTTGTTTACCAGGGCTAATCCCTGATCCCAGTGAAATGGCAGAATGGCATTTGCTTTGTACTATGTAACACAAATCTACAAAAGATAAGACATTGTCTGAGCCTTCTGTGAACGAAACCTCTTGCTTTCAGATGGAATCTAAATGTTTGATTATATCAACTCACTAATAAAGAGAAAAGTAATAGTTGAGCAGACACTACAATATTCTCTTGTACTGATGAAATTGGATTATGCAAAATAGGTAGTACTACTGGTACTTTCATGGGATTTGTGCAGAAAAGCTTCCCAGTGGGTTGTGTCACAAGAGCTCATCTCCACTACTATAGTAGGTGCAAGTTCAGTTTAAAGGGCTAAAATGGGTGCTTCTGCTTGCAGCCCCACTAATGAACTGTATAAAATACTCATAGCATGTGCCATTTTGTAAGAGCAGCAGATCTTGAAATAAAAGCATTAGAAGGAAGGCAATTATGTCATCCATTCATCATGGAAAGTAGCAGGACAAATGCCTGTACAAAAGCAGTATTTCGAAAATAGGTAATATGGAATAATTTTGACAGCAAGTGGCTCTTATGGGTTGTTGTTTTTTAATTGGACCCCAAGTCTTATGCCTCAATTAACAACCCTTTGATTATTTTATGTAATTACAAATTTTCTGTACTGTGTTTGTGAGGACAAGTATGTGTTTGGTGCCAAAATATTTTAGAACAGATCACATGATCACATGATTTGCACTTGACAACTCTTGACTGAATGGATGAATAATTTGTATTGTTTATTATCAGGAAATAGGGAAACTCATTTTGTTTTGTTTTTTTGTTTTTTTATAAGTTTTTATTGAGTACAAAGAAAAAAAAAGGATTAAAAACATTGAACATGGTAAATCGTCTTTGACTGACATCTCAGTCCATATTGTACATTAATTACATATAATATATCTATATACAACTATACATTTCTACATTTTGTGATAGTCTGCTCACATATGCAAGCAATTCTTAGTTACTGTAGCTAATAAATGAAGATTTGGATATGTGAATTTGGTTATATGTTAGGAATTGCCTTTAACTTTTGATACTAACTTGATAAGGAGCAATGAATAGAAATGGATTTTTTTCTCATCACTTTAGGAAAAGCAATTGCCTGTTGCATTTCTGCATGACATCTAGTTATTACTGAGCTAGAGATGCAGTTCTAATTAGAAAAAAGAGAATACTGTGTCATTAAAGAAAATATCTACTTTTTTAAAAAAAGTTTTTACTTTTCTATGAGAAGCTGGTGCACCTATGTTGTTATGTTAGAGGTACATATATAATAACTTTAAATCTGTTCTGAATGTGAAATATAGAATCAGAGGTACTTTCAAATGTATTATATACCTATTACACATATTTTGAGAGAACACAAGATATTTCTTATGCAGCTTCACTGGTCTACTTTATGCAGTTAGGATGATGAATTTTAGTGGAATTTGTAGAAAAGAACAACAATATAAATAACTTGTATTTTGTAGAAAACTTACACAAATATATTAAAAGATAATTTGAATTCCAATTTCTTTTGTTCCAGTGTATGATCTGTTCTATAATTTTATTTTATCAGAGTTCACTAAATAATTCAGTCATCTTTCCAGAAAGAGCAGAAATCAAGGAGTAGGCCAGGCAGTCCACTAGCCCTCCAAAATCACACTGCTTAAAACAAACTACTAAAGAAAAAAGGCACATCTGTCATTATGAAATAGGTAAAAAGAGGTTGTTTAATTACTAAATTGACAATTTTTGACTACAGCTCTTTATTAGATTTGGACAAAACCAGCACTGAAAGAGAGAACTGGAGAGGTTCCGTGGCTCTCTGTGAAAGTGATTGTTTCTGAATCCATTCTAGATGGTTCCAAAATTGATGGTGATTGTGTGTTTGTTGAGTTACAGAAAGACAGACAGTGACTACTTTCACATATCACATGAAGCCAAAATATGGTTTTGGGGTTTTGTTATTATATCATTTTCAAATTTAGCTATAGAATGTGCAAATAAAGTATAAAATAAAAAATCAAGCTTCTCTTAATTGCCTTTATATAGGTCTCCCATTTGATAATAAAATACATGCTGGTAGTCTTGATATCATGGCTACCATTCTGCCAGCTTCGCAATGCATCTGCCAGCCTGACATTAGTAAGGGGGGCAGTGGTGGGATTCAAATATGTGAACAACCGGTTCTCTGTGTGGATGCCGCTTCCGTAAGTCCATTCTGGGCCTGGGCAACAAAAAATTAGCTACTGGTTCTGCCGAACTGGTGCGAACTGGTTGAATCCCACCACTGGGGGGGGGAGTGGAGAGATTGGAATGTGAATAATGTGGGAGCCAAGGCCAAGCCAAGACAAAGCCAAATGAAAAAATGTGGAGAAGGAGAAGGTGTGAATGCAAAATCTATTACCCAAACAAATTTAGAGACTGTGCTGTCCCTCTCACTCACACTCACATGTAACAGTGGTTTAGTGGATTTATTAATATTCCCCAGCAATTCCCTTCACCAAAACGTAGAACTGTCCCAATAAAATTCAGCCAAAAGCAGACTGATGCTAATCCACAGAGCAATGGCCAATGAGTCCACAAGGCACTTGAAAGTTTCAGAAAGGTGCAGAAAGCAGTTCCTCTTCCTCATCACTGACCAGCTGCAGCTATGTGCTTTCCCCACCTGAAGCCTCAGGACTGTCCTGCAGCTGTGCTTCAGCCAAATCCATCTCAGATGGCTGCTTGGAGCCATTGACCAACTCCCTTCCAGACATGCCCAGAACTGATTCATCCTTCTCTGAGCTGACATTTGGAGAGGTATTTGGGGAAGCATCCAGGTGAGCCCCCACCCCCGTCAGCATGGCCTGTCCTCCCAGAGCCTCCCAGACTAGGTTTCTGCAGGTACTGGCAGTGGAGCCAATGGACCAGTCTAGAAACGTGTACAGCATCAGCTTCCTCCCAGGACATGTCATCATAGTCAGCTTTTTTTCTCATAGAATGCCCAGAACGGAGTTCCGGCACCTTTTTTGGATAGAA